ATATATATACCCTTCGCTATTCAGCTCAAATTTTGGTTATAAACAAGTAATAGTAATGTATTGATTGATTGTTTTTATTTCCACGTATAATTACTTTGTTTTAATCTATGGTTTTTTTTAAAATAGAAATCGTGTCAATGACATCAGAGGAAAGTGTGATGCGTTGCCGTGATCGAATCCATTTAGTAATTCATGAAACACGTGGTAGAGCCTCATATACGCATTTTATTTCAATTCCTATGACGCATGAGATTATTAAAGACAGTTTTATCAAATTTATGGACACAATTAAAAATGATGAGGAATTATCGGTAAACATCTTGTTTCAGCAACATTATTTTTTCTGCTTCCTAATAATTCTAAATACTCTGAAAAATTTGCGAAGAAAAATATATTTGTACAGTATAGCTTATGTGACCATTGTTTGGAAAAATTTATAACTTATTACATGCACCTTCTTCTAAATTCGTCAAATTTTTTCTTTGCAGGATTCATGCAGAGAAGAAACAGTTTTTCAAGAACCGAAAAAATTACACTTAACGATAACAATGCTATCATTGTTGGATACTGATGAAGAAAAGTCAGTATTGAATTCACTGGAAACAGTAATTAATACACGCGTAAGGTATTTTCTTTTATTTCATTTATTTTTTTAATATATTCTATCAATGTTATTGGTTACTATTTGGTAAGTACTGGTCCTTGTTTAGTACTTCTCTATATTGAATTATTTAGTTGATGATTTCAACTAAAACACTTAGCTTCAAAATAAAGTAGGACGTGTCGAAACAAACATTTACATAAGTAATAAATAATATATGGATATGATAAAACGTCCTAGTAGGGATGTCTGTCATTTAAAACAAGACTTTCATTAAAAACTAAGACTATCAGTTAAATAATTTAGTTAATTAATTAGTTAGTTCGGCATTCAGTGAATCAATTATAAGTTTGTTCATTCACTCAGCTATATAAAAGTTGGCTAACTTAAACCAACACAAGTTGATATTTCGCATTGTTTTCACAGACTAAATATTTAAGAGAAGTTTTGAGTGGTAAATCACTGGAAGTAAATGTTAAAGGACTAGAAATAATGAACGACGATCCGACCCGTGTTAATGTACTATACGCACTAATCTCTTCAGATAAGTTCGTTTTTTTAATTTTCCGAATTTTAGTTTTTATTTAAATTATTTTTTCTGACATCTCGTCAAATTCGCCGCACGAGACTTCTTTTCAGACTGGCCGATATCGCAAATGCAATAGCAGAAGCTATGAGCGATACAGGTTTTGCTCCACAGCAGGATTCAGTAAAGATACATTTAACTCTAATGAATACTAGATATATGGTCAGTACTGTGATTTAAAAAAAAAGATTTGATTGTTTTCATAATCTAACAACATTTTGCTAAAAATCAAATGCTAGTTTTACAGTGGGAAAAAATGAAAAAGAGAGGAAGAATGGATGTGACGAAGTTACTGGAAAAATATAGAAATTATGACTTTGGGAAAGTCACAATAGCTGAAGTAAGTTGATATATTTCTGAAAAGGTCTGTACGAAGGATAATTTGAAGATGCTAAATTTGTAACTATAGAACGATAAAAGTCGTGCTTAAAGTATGTTAGCTTTCCGACGACACTGATGACGGTAAACTTTATATATATATTTATATATATTTGCGGGATGAGTTACTTAAAAATCTTGACGTCATTCCTTAATTTTGACTTGCAGGCAATATTGAATGCCGAAATGACTGCATGTTTTCATATTTAGTCATTTCTAGGTCCATATATCGAATTTAAAGGGACCAGTAGATGAGCATGGATATTATTCTTCGATTGGAACCTTTGAATTGAACAGGATAACGCATGATACATAAGATATTATGTATAAAAAAATTTTAGTCTATCATAGATTATTTTCATGCATAGTGTAATTCATTGGAATGTTCTCTCCAACTTACATATTTAGTTTACCATAATTTGATGTAAAACTGATATCGTCATTTTCCAAAAACTAGAGCATTGTTTGTGAACACAGTATATATTGAGAGATTTATATACAGAATAAGTGTGGAATAAAACAGTTGAAAAAGTTAAAAAGAGATAAATGTTACCGAAGATTGGTTCTGCTAAGTGTTTTGATACAAGTTTTATTCTTTCACAATCATTTAAATTTCTGTTTTCTGAAATATTGTGCTCTTCTGCAAAGAAAAGTTTCTCAACATTTTCTCTAGTTGAATTTTAAGAAATTCTCTTATGCTACATGAACAATTTTTTACTGAAACAAAAGTTTTTTTTGCCCACTACCTTTTTTCGAATAAGTCTTTATCTTTCTGACATCTTTCTAACCATCAATAGCATCTTTCAATACGTTGAATTTCGATACTGTAATTTCGTTATTAAAATCTTTTAGTTTTGAAATTCTTATATAGTTGGAAAAGAAAGCGTCACAACGAATTTCACATACATGACCGAATTTTGCATTTTGATAGTATTTCTTCTCAAAGGCATTCAAATAATAGTTATGACGACATATACCATTTATAACTAACAACTGTTTTTTGTTAGCTGTCTTACTTCTTCGCCAATATACATTTTTCAGTAAGAAATTTATTCTCCAAATTGCAGTGCATTACTGCAGTATATTAATAGTTAGTCATCTTATGAGCAAACTAAGGCTAGTTCATTTTGCTGTTTTCCATTCAACACGCAGATCTCTCGGAAATAACTTTTTCCCTTCCGTTCTCGCTTTTCCTCGTGTCTATCCACCTATTCAGGATGAGCCACGTTCAAAAAAAAAAAAAAAATTGTTAGTTCTCTCAAACATTGCTACAATACATTGAAATGTGAAAACTGAAGAAAACAAATTTAATAATTAACAGCGATAAACCATTTGGAACTCATATAATGGAACAAATTCTAATCTTTCAGAAATATCTGTTAGCAGCAGAGAAGAAATAAGCAAAAAAAGACATTTGAACGATAAATTAATTCTCCACCTAATCGGCTCATTGAGAATCATTTTCTCAGTCTTGCCAAATTTATTTTCAGCAAAAGATAACTCGTGAATCTGTCGCTATGAAAAAAGAAAAACATGGATAACAAAAGGACACAATAAAACAGAACAATGCGGAAAAATATAAAATACAGCCCTTTAAATTGAATAATGGAATAAGAAAACATTTCAATTGTAATGAATCATCAATTATCACCGCATATTATCAACCAGTTATACAATAAAACAATGCATTTTTGGGAAGAATTAAGAGATAAAATTCGAAGAATTCAGCACAGAAAATGATTATAGATTAGAAATTATCCAATACCATAATGTTTCTTGAGCAAATCCTGCGTTGCTTTGCCATGCTGTTTATAGAACAGCAAATAAGCATCATCGTTTTGAACACGTGAAAGTTGGGCACGTGTAACAATTGAGTCGTCAAAATTACGCCAATCTATAAAATGTGAT